ATCGGGCTATCATTTTTGCGAGCCCTGTAATTTAAAAAATCAAGTCAATGAAAGTAGAAAAATGTTTTAATATATATTAATTTTATAGTATTTTGTAAACGTAAACAGGGGATGGCTATTTTTGGCCACGAACAAGCTGAGAGGGAGTTTTTTTGTTTTTCTGTCACTGCACAAAAGAACAAAGATGCATAAAATGTATTGATACAGTTAATTATTGCTATACATCTAACCTTCATCATGATTAGAAAATAAATCAGATGGCATGTTTTATTTGGAAAAAAATATGGGTTTTATGATTTTTTACATTTATGAGTTTCTAGGATTATGTGATCTAACTGGTATTTAAAGGGTTAAAATTCTGAATTTGAATGAAATTTTGATTTTCATGAACAGCACTAATGCTAATCTAAAAAAACAAGTAAAAAAAAAGTGAAGATTTTTCTTAATATATATGAATTTTATAGCATTTTGTAAACGTAAACAAGGGGTGGCCATTTTTGGCCACGAACAAGCTGAAAGGGTAGTGATTTTGAACAAGCCCATTACAGTAACATCTGACTTACACTTAAATGAAATGAAAATCTGAATAATCGCTCAGAGCTACTCTTCGGTGCAGTAGAAGTGCTAACATGCTAACACAATTTAATGAGCAGACTTGTTCCAAACAGCCAGACTGAACTTACAAGATAAAAATAAAAAATACATACCTCACAGTAACTGCACTTGTAGAGTCTCTTTCTGGTGTGGATCTGTTGGTGTAATCTCAGGTAATGTGGAGTTTTAAAAGTCTTCTCACACAGGTCACATTGATAAGGTCTCTCCTCAGTGTGGGTAAACATGTGGCTTTGTAAATGTGCGTCTGTTGTAAAGTATTTGCCACACTGATCACACCAGTACACATCTTCTCCGGAGTGAATGCGTAGGTGTATATTTCGGCTCCCTAACCGGCTGAAAGTTTTTCCACAGATGTCACAGCTGTATGCCTTAATTCCAGAGTGGGTAACTAGATGCTTCTGTAAGCTGCTACTTTGAGTAAAAGCTCTGCCACACTGATCACAGCTGTAAGCTTTAACTCCACTGTGGATGACTTGGTGTGTTTTTAGGGCATTCTTCCAGGAAAACGACTTTCCACACAAGTCACAGCTGAACGGTCTCTCTCCAGTGTGGATGAGCTGATGTTGTTTTAGTTTAGACTTCCAGGTAAAATCCTTCCCACACTCGTCACAGGTGTTTTTTTTCTCTCTCTTTCTTCTGTGAGGTTTGTCGGCCTCCTGAGAGCGCTGACTTCTCGGTCCATGTTGGTCCTGCAGTGACAGAGATACAAACAGAGGCAGTGAGTGAGATGCATTCATTAAACAAACTGAAGCTTCAAACTCCCTCCATTAACACTAGTTTTAAACCTGAAGGTGAGTGTGGCACCAAACACCACCAGAACCTGAACGACTGCAGGTGCTGATAAGTTGAAACACACAAACTGTTTGTGTACAGTTTGTCTCACAATGTGATTTAAAGACTGCAGTAAATTCCTCTGCAGGTTAGTGCAGGATAAGCAGGCAAGTGTACTGTAATGTGATGGATTTAAAGTAAAGAAGAGTGTATGACTGGTGCACAGTGACTGTGGTGCTCATGGCAGAGTTAGGTTACATCAAGTGTAGCAGTGATTAACTTAAACTTAAGCTCATGATGCTGACACTCATTCACTGAGCTCCACCCACATACCAACAGTATAGTGTCTAATATAAAGACAGTGTACTGTCAGTGCAGAGAATGGAAATCAGCCAGGACAACTCATGAAACATCTGCTGACATCTGGATGAATTCACAGCTACATTAAAAAAATTATATATTTGTATTTTCTACTCCTTACATTTTCAAAACAGGCTTGTTACTTCTGGTTTAAGGCATTTGAGGGGAGTTATTATTCATCACTGTGGGCATCAAAGATCAAATTGATTTGAGCCTAAACATGAAATCCAATCCTGCATCATACACCAGGCTATGTGGTAAAGTCCTCAAAATGGAGCATGTAACGCAAACCGTAAATTTTGAGCTGAAAGGTTTAAATCACCGTCAATTTTATCCTTCTATGTGGGAAATAGATTCAGAGTTTGCTGACATTCCTTATCATACAGAGGTACATTGGCTACGTTGGGAAAAAGTTCTCAATAAGAGTTTCTGAGGTCAGCAAGGAAATCTGTCAGTTTATGTCTAGGTGGAGGGGGGCTGAAGCTATAAGAATGTGAGAAACGGGACACCCTCCCGCGCTCATCTCCCCTCCGCATGATTTATGCTCAAAAGTGTTGAATTGTATGGAATAAAATGATTGTTCATTGAGCATTTATACACCAAGTATTGTCCTTCCTTCAGCCCAAAGATCAAAAGAATTGGGAGATTTAACAATGGACATGGCATGTATGATGCGGTGAAGGCATTTCAAGTGAAGCTGTCACAAATGCACCAGTGCAACCTGTCTCACTTTCCCTGTTGCCAAATAATGTTGAACCAAGTCGGCGCACTTTGCTGATAAACTGAGCGCACTAAGTTCGCACGGCACTTTGGTGACTGTGAAGCACAAACAGAATTTCGAGCTGCTTCGCAACCCATTTACGTGGAAACTGCACCTGTGCAGATTCAGATGGAGCTGCAGTGTAATGGTACACTCAAGGCAAAGTACGACACTGAATGGCCCGCACAGTTTATTAGTTCCATTCCTGCAGCAATGCCCAGCTCCGTCTACATGCAGCTCGAACCTTGTGTATGTTTTCATTTATTTTTTCTGGGGTTTTTGGCACCATGTTCATATTTCTAACTTGCATAATTTTGACAGGATATATTTTTATGAAGCTCAAAATATTTAAAGTTAAAGT